GCCGAGGGGTCCGGGGAGCCGCAGAGCGGAGGGGGCACGGGTGGTCAGGAGGGTGTTGTATTGCGATGAAAGGATCTGTGATACGTGCCGATGCTTGGGTAACACTTGGTGTTTTTAAGTGCACCCTTAAGAAAGTGTAAAGAAAATGCTGTTTGGTCTTTCGATAGGTGGGAGTTCGAAGCCTTTCTAAAGGAAGACTTTAGTGCTTCGCTGGTATGTATAGTTTTTTTCTTTTCTTCCCTGGCTTTTTTCCCATCAAACAAAGCCTTATACTGGAAATAACCACTGAAGTTCCTGCATGAACACTTAGCATCTTTCTTTAAAACAAAGTTTGCTTCATTTCAAGATTTCTGATGTCCTTGTAGTTATGCTAATCTTTATGGGAGTTTTTTTATTATTATTTCAATAGTAAGCAGGGCTGTATTTTTTGACTATATGTGTAGTAGCTCATGTCCTCCATGCAGCATTAGGGCTGGGAATTGAGACACTCCTCTGTGGCCTAGGTATCCTGGGTATAATCTATGTAAGCAAACCAACTGTGTAGTGTGTGACGCTGGTAAGAACGGCTGGATTGAGCAAGAGGTTGCTGAATATGATATACATATGAAATATGATTACTGGGGGTGAATATAAAAGCATACCATGAGCTATGGGGGTAGGAGAAGCACAAGACCGTGCAAGGATGCCATGTGTTTTCCATTGAACATGGTTTGCATTTATTTTGCTGATGGTTACAAAACCATCATAAGTGGTTTTGTATGAAAACTTCTTCAGTAGAGCGGAGAGCTGAGAACCACCAGGTTAGCCGTTCTCTTTCCCGCTGGCTGTGGTCAGCAGCTTCTCAACAGAAAGGAGTGGGTCAGAGCCGGGGGTGGAGGGACCCAGTGGCTGGGGGGGGGGGAACCGGTGCCTCGTGCAGACGCAGGGGAAGGGGGCAGAAGGGGGATGCTTGGGCTTTGATTTCTCCTGTTGGCACTTTAGGCTTTAGCAGTACTCAAGCTGTGAAATGCAGGAGTACGGCAGACATCGGTGTGCCGCACGATGGAGGCAACGCCAACCAAGGTGGGAAATAAGGGGGCCTATTCCAGTCAGTTCACTTCGCTGTACGGTAAATCCCTCACCTGTGAAAACCACGGTCCGTGGCTGGTCCTGGGAAAAAATGCCAGATCCCGGTGACAAACTGGTCTCGATGTATCAGTTGTCTGAATACTGTCCCACTTGGTACAGCCGCGTTTGCACCACGTTTTTGTTGCTTAAAAGCAGCAAGCCTACACCGGGGCTCTTGCCAGCCAGGGTGGCAAAGGAAGATGCCTTGCTGCTTTGCAGTGCCCCTGTCATCTTTAACTTCCAATTTCTTCAGCGTAGGCTCGGGAGGAGCTGCCACCCTGCTCGGCTGAGCCTCC